TTATGTTGACATTACTTCCGTCCTAATTCAGTGTAGTATTTACTTTGCGTTTCCAGTGTAACATTTAATTCGGTATAACACCGATTTACTTAAGTGTGATGTTTGTTCGAGATATGATATTCTTGTATTAACTTAACGTGAACTATACTCTACACCATGAAACATTTTATTGAGATTTTTGTCTACCAAACTGACTGCAGCCGCCTTCTTATCGACTTCACAATATTTGTATCCTACTAAACTGTAAGTTAGAAAAGTTTACGTGTTCCTTTACACACTGTGAAATGATTGGCCATTACAAATATTATAACCGAAATCAACCACAACAGCTACTGTCTTATAGTTAATACCATGATGTCCAGGCAGCATACTTGTCAGAAACAGAAATTTCACGTTAATAAATTACATTCAACTTTGCCTACTTAATAGCTATCTAAATATCTATAAAGTGAAATCACTAAACTACAAATTATTCGTCTATACCTCTAAAATTGCTAAAATTGGAAAAAACAGCAAATTATAACATTTCATCCCAAGATGAAGTCAAAATGTTCTATCTATTCAGTAAAAGATCTATCGAAAATTCCCTATTCATCTGGAAATGTTCGAAATAATTTTAAATAGAGTAATAGTTGTGCTGAATTTTGTAACTTTAACTTATTTCACATGGCATAATTTAACATCACACATAATTGATCACTTTATCTCTGTGTAGAATGCCAATCATAAGTGAATTATTGGTTTTACTTCAGATTATATGACGGACTTAATCGATGATGATTGAACAGAAGTTGATAAATTCTGAACAGATTGTTTCAGAAAATGTAATAAGAATAATACAGGTCAAACTACGAAATAGTGTGTTAACAAGATTTTCTCTCTTCATTACACAGATGAACATGCTTTCTAAACACCTACCACTCTTTATTCACTTAAATCTATTTTTTCTTTGTATAACTTGCGTAAATGATATTATAAGAAGTCTTCTAAAAGAACCAGAATGATGTCTCTGTCCTGTCTTCGATCGGTTTTGTCACACATTAAAATATTTTCAAAATGGAAATAAACGTAAACTATTGGCTTTCTCTCAGTTAATACTGTCAATGCAACTGATGAATACGTTGTTCGTATGTATTATTAGGTAGAATGTTGTACATAAGCATACACGATATCCAACGTTAACATCATTCGACAGCGATTATCGTAACACAGAATTTTTATATTCAATACCCAATACATAACAAATGTGATTTGCCTAAAAATGTCTAATTTTAATTTGATGACACTCAAAACTATCAACTTGAATGATTGCTGTATCACGAGTTATGGATTTCTAAAAGGTAGTGCATGCAATGTCGAGTCACCTAGACAGGTGGCCACATGGCAACTTGATCGAAAGTATTTAATCTGCACTAAGAACGACCTGACACACACGACATTTATCACCACCCAGTGATCAATCAGTTGTGAATACATCGCAGTCCCACAGGAGGTTAGTCGCGGCCCGGATAGTTCAGTGGCGACGTCTCTACCTGTGAAGCTGGGTGACGCGGGATCAAATCCGTCAGCGAGCACCAGTTCCCTCAAGATTAGAGCGTAGTGGTTGTGCTTCGTTAACCAATCACCCTCGTGACCGTCAATATGTAAACCACGACGGTGTTTGAAACCAGAAAGCAAAGTGAAGCAGTAACCACAGTTGATTAGCAGATAGCTCAGACGACAAAGAGGAGAGACGAATGAATGAGTCAGTGAGTCGAGTGAATAGGATTAAATGTACATGCATATATATATATATATAAAGAGAAACTAATGAATCATCGAATCAATTCAGCGACTAATAGTAAAGCTAGGAGGGGGAATATATACGTAGGCAATAAGCAATGCTCAAGCATACATATTCACACATTCGAAACGATAATAAATGTACAATGATATAGATAAGTTGTTATTGTACGGATGATTCAGTCTGTTAAGTAAGATAACAAAAGGGCTTGACTGAATTAAACGTAAACAAACTCAACTGCATGTGAGTTGCTATAACAGATACATCTTGCTGACGAGCGCCAAATAGCACAAAAACCAGGCCAAGGGTATTCTGTTGAGTACCTCCAAAGACCACCTTCGTGACAGGTCATGCAAATTCACCTTGACCGAGAATAACTTGAGATTAACATATCCAGACCTATTATGATTCGGATTGTACTAAAAATATTCCACATTGTTTCCTTTGTATTATTTAAACTTGTGTTTGTGTAATTCGGTTATTTAGTTACATTGGATTTTGATGGAGTTTTGTTCTGTGAACTGGATGGTTACTCTCGAGAAGTGGCTAACATTAAGTCACGAAAAGTGAGAAATATATTTTTCTACTCTTTGGGATATAACAAAAATATGTTTAATATTAACCCTCTACCCAATATTCAATTTATTTGAAACTATCAACTCCGACCTTGGGCATTGATACCTACAAGTAAAAACTTTTTAATTAGCTAGATGAATTAACATAGTTTTCTGAGCTTTGGTGATACAGACATGCACTTTTATCAAGTTAGGTTATGAAACAGTTCTTATCGTCAAAAGATCATGAAATATTATTAGACGATATTTAGTTTACTCACGTTGATGTTTGGTAAGAGGATATCATATTATTTTCAAAAAAACCTCCAGAGATCATACATCAAGACCACAAAATACATAATCATAGCTACATGACTTGTTCATACTATCTATTGACGACAAGGCACAGAACAATTTGTGTTCTGGAAATATTTGACAATTACTTAAATGGTACACGAGTTGATGATTTCTAGATACCAATTTCACGCTCTTTTCATTTTATCTCCATTTATCTAAGTATTCGCTTTCCATAAATTGATTTTACCTCCACTTATTCGAATTTCATTATTCTTGCCATTTAGCTGTGACGAAAATAAAACATTTTCTGTAAAAAAAAATTTGTATATCATAGATACGAAAGTTTTCTATCTCCTTGTTTACTATTATTCCAACATAACTTTTTAGTGTTTATATCTTATTTTTTCCAAGACTTCCTCGACACCGTAATGTTTTCTTCACAACCTGCAGGAAGATCGTCTTTGAAAACTTGTCTTCTCAAAATTACATGAAGTGAATAGTCGCCGCATCTTATTTAATACATAGAAGTTTCTGTGTTTAATTTAAAAAATAATGTCTTTTATTGGTTGTTGATCACTACCCCAATAACTATATAGATAATTAGAAAGTATACTTTGACAAATTACGAAGAGCTAGTCTATATTTAAGCGCTTGAAATATCGGCTCAGTATGTTTTCTATTCACTATTAATCCAGAAACATTCTGGAACTTTCTGATATAACCCTAGAGAATGGGAGTTTTGAAATTCCTCATATCTGATTTTGACTAAATTATACATATTTTGTATTTATAGGTCTTTATTAAAAGTAAACTCCTTATTCATCCAGAAGAATTTATTATGTTTCCGGTTAGTCGTGTCGGTAACTTATTTCTAATCTATTTAAATATTGTAATGCATTTTTCAGTTCAAAAAATATGTATTTTTATTACTTATGTATAAGAATCGTAAAATCCTGCTAAGCTCTTTTATAAAACGCTACAATTTATCATTGGGATGCAATCTAAACAACTCAAGCTTAGATACCTCAGTTTTTGGCATAGTTTTTACTTAGTCTATACTTTGGATATAGTCGAAACATTTTATTCAACTTATTTTAATACAAATGTTCTACAGCGTTTTATTTATTGAAGAAAAATGTTTTAGAACATATGTAAATGAAAATATTTCATAGTTGAATTCATAAGTCACTTATAGCTGGACCACTATGGAAAACCTGGAAGCACTGGATGGCCGTTTCGTCCTAGAATAGGACTCCTCAGTAGTGCGCACCCACGATCCCGCCTCGCGGGATTCGAACCCAAGACCTGTCGGTCTTGCGCATTAAAGCTTAACCTCTATACCACTGGGCCGGCATCCAACGGTTTCAATGTCTAACTTCAACCAATCCACGAAATCGAGTGACACATCCACCATTGTCTTCAATGAGTTACTATCTCACACAGACCTGGTTGAACTCCACTGGTCACAGCTTCTCAGATTATAAAAAACTGAGAATGATCTCGATTTTATGAAATCCCTTATTATTTTGAAATTCTACTATTAAAACATATACTGAATCTATTGCAATACCTTTGTATCAAATGTCTCTTATGTCACTGAACATAGTGTGGTGATGACTACCTAATTTATAAATTTAATCTTGTAGTTTTATGCTGACCAATACATGTTATTCATAACTTTTGTTGTTAACTAAACAGAATGCACTGATTAAGACATTAAATAAGAAAGATTGGTTCAGCGAAGAGTTCTCTTTTCGGATAATTCATCTCAAAAGCTGTACAATCGCAAATATATATACGTTTTTTCAGAATGATAATAATTACAATAATAATGACAATAAACCTCTGTTAGACATGGTGACAGTGAGGTAGAATAAAAAAAGCTATTAAGAAATTCTTTTCAAACAGCGGAATTAATAATCGTCTGATTGTTAATGGCTTATATATTCATCAAAAGACAGATAGTGAAATTATCATTGGAAAAGGATGACTCAGCAAGTTAAGATAAAATGTTGAAACTCAGATTAAATGTAATCAGAAGGATCATAGAAATAGAAACAAACCAGTTATTAACACATGGAAACAACATTCTCCAATTTTAGGTCATTTAAATTTTGTAAACATTTAACGAATGCTTGTCATTTCTATTCTCAAAAAAAAAGAAAAAAGAAGTTCATTTTGATTGGTTAACTACTCTTATCCAGTTAAATAGTGATTTTTTTTTAAATATAGATACATTTGATCATTACAAGCTGATATAAGTAGTTTTGTTTTAAACATTCATTCATCAGTTATAGTTTCTTTCTGTATAACTAAATAATTCATATTATATAAGTGTTCATATTGTTAGTATAAGAGAAATATGATCAGAATTAAAAAATACAGACTATAGACTATAGTAATACAAAGTTTATTCTATTGGACAAATGTAAACTAATTCTCTATATTCAAATACATTTTTTTGATACAAAGAAAAGATGCACAAGATGATAGAAAATATGTTGATTGTTTTCAATGTAACAATGAAAATTTTCATTTTACATTTATGTTATGTAGGTAAGTGATTTTGAACTATTTAAAGTAATGAATGTATTTCTGGATAAAAATCCTTTTAAAAAAAAAAGAAGAGAACTTGAACTGATGAATTTTCATTGTGTATACATTAAACATGATTAATCAGAGTACGGACTTGTTTATTAACTGTAGTTTAAGCTCGACTAACACTTGGATCTATATAGACTGTTCCAATATTGAAGTTAATCTGAGAATATTATCCATGTGTTTAAACTCTATTTCTAACACTAGTCACTAGATTGTTAATAACCAAACAGTGTATATTTACACTTAGCTGATCATATTTGTTATCACAATCAAAGAGGGGTTTTGTGGATATTATAGTAATTTCAATGGTTGAGATCATGAGTCAACTGAAGCTAGACCACTATGGAAAACCTGGATGCACTGGATGGTGGTTTCGTCCTAATGTGAGACTCCTCAGCAGTGCGCACTCACAATCCTGCTCATTTCTATTCCTCAATTAGGCTTATATATATCCTTTACTATATATATATGTATCATGTATTCATATCTAATTTCGGTTTCAAAGTAGGATTTTTGATTAAAATTATATGATAATATATTTCAAATGATGGAATATCATTGTTTAAATCAGTTAGTGATAATGTTCAACAACATAAGTGGGTTATTTATATCAATTAGAATAATACGAACGATAGTAACTTTATTCTCTCTTGTCTATTTATTTGTCATAAATGTCTAACTTCAAATATATTTCTTCGGTTTATTTTTGTTATTAGTTTTGTTGTTTATTGAAATTGTTATTTAAAGTCCTTAATCTTCAAACTGTCTTAAAATGAAAACACTTATTTATACTTATTGTGTATTTTTATGGTTACCACCCAATAATGATGATAGTTTTCGAATGAAATCATAATTTTAGAATGGTTTGAGTAAACATAATTTTGTATAGATTTCTAACGAAACACAAAGTTTCGATGAATCTATTTGATCCAGTATGAATGATAATGGATTCTAGCACATCAGAAAAGTTCAAACACTTCTTTGAACTCCAGCACACAAATAACATTTATTGACGTCTTAATGTAAATAGGATTCTACCCTAGTTCTGGCAAACTCCTCTTGTTTAGTAATAAAAGTGACAATTTTACCCTATATCATGTCAATTCTGTACTATGTAACCACTCAAACAAGTAAATTGATTTGATCTAAGATTTCTTTCCAATAACTGTCATAAATTCATGTACTGGGTATTTTGTATGTAAAATAAATCATTTAATGAATTTTGAAATTATATTTAACTATGAGTGTTTTGATCTTCAAATACACAGTCCTACTAATCAGCTACTTAAGGCATTTTAGCAAACCAGTAGAACAGGTTCAGTAAGAGCTTTAACAAGCAATGTATTGATTCGTAAAGTTCCTAACTGCCGTTTTATGTTATGTAAGGATAAATTTACTTTTTGATTGCTTTTGCTAAATCACCTAGCGTCAACGGTATATGATGATCAAATGACTCTAAATCAATCCTTCAGCGCTAAACATTTTATTCACGTTTACGTTTTCGTTCCCTTTTCTTATACTTCATATTCATAATTTTTATAATTTTCAATAAACTGATTTCCTTATATTAATTATTCTTACCACTGGCTTCTCTTTGATTCATGCATATGAAGTAAGATGGTGTGCATTAAAGTAAATATGTACTAAACCCAATGTTATTTTTTATTTGTCTGGTTCACTTTTGAATTGTTGGATAGCTGGATTATTAGTTTTTTTAACTGACAAGTTAAAAAAGTTTTAAAAACGGTTAAAAATGGTTGAAAAGCTATCCAAACCGTTTTTTGCATAAATAGTAGAAGGATTAAATCTTATTACTTACTAACGCCTGTTACTCCTCGTAAAGGAGCATAGGCCGCTCACCAGCATTCGACATCCAACCCTGTCCTGGGCAATCCTTTCCAGCTCCCTCCAGTTCATATTCATCCTTTTCATATCTGCTTCTATTTCCCGACGTAATATGTTCTTTGGCCTTGCTCTTTTCCGCTTCCATTCAGGATTCCACGTCAGGCCTTGCCCCGTGATGCAGTTTGATGATTTGCTTAATGTATGTCCTATCCATTTCCATCGTCTTTTCCTAATTTCTTCAAACCAGCTGGAAGATGGTTTGTTCTCTCCCACAAAAGGCCGTTGTTGATGGTATCCGGTCAATGGATGTTGAGTATCTTGCGTAGACAACTATTCATAAATATTTGTACCTTCTTGATGAAGGTTTTAGTGGTTCTCCAAGTTTCAGCTCCGTACATTGGAACTGCCTTGACGTTGGTATTGAAGATTCTCACTTTGATATTGGTTGAAAGCTGTTTTGAGTTCCATATGTTCTTCAATGGTAAGAATGCGGCCCTTGCTTTGCTAGTCCTAGCCTTTATGTCTGTATTTGATCCTCCTTGTTCGTCGATGATGCTTCCCAGGTACCTGAAGGATTCTACATCTTCCGGAGTTTCGCCATCAAGAGTGATTGGATTGCTGTTCTCCGTTTTGAGGACCTTGGTTTTCCCCTTGTGTATTTTGAGGCCTACTGATGCAGAGACTGCTGCTACAGTGGCTGTCTTTATCTGCATTTGTTCGTGTCTATGCGATAGAAGGGCTTTATTACTTACATACATTATATTATTTATCCAAAAGTACTTGCTTTAATAATGATATGTTATGCATTTATGTTTATAGAGTGGTGTTTATATGTTTATTTAGTAACATACTGAATAACATTTGAATTCTCTATTGTTGAGAATCCATGTAAACAATTCCTTCAGCAGTATAGATATAATTGAAATTGTATGAAACAATTACTATTCAACTGACTAAACAGATCTAACTACAATGATTTCTTTTTTATAAACGAAATTAAAGAATCTGATTTAAAAAATATATTGATTTCATGAATCAGTAATCCAGGCAAGGTTCATTACAACGAAACTAAGATACGTTAGTTTCAAATATCAAAGCCGATACGTTTTTTTTTGGATAAATTGTATAAAATGTGAAGTTTCAAATCTGCATCACTATTACCATCAAGGCATTTGAAGTTCCACGAATAAAGCGTGTTGAACACCACAAAAGATTTTTTAACTATCATTGTCATTCGAAAAATCTTTAGTGCTATAAATTTTGAACATGTTAATTTTCTATCATTTAAACATATTACATACTACAAACTTTGAGCGGGTTTATGCATAGATAAGCAGTAAGCCCTGAGGATGAAACTTAGGTCGATCAGGTACAACAGAATTGATAATCGGTCCGATTACTGAGACCACCTAAGTTGGCTATTATGGTTGCCCCTACTATCCAGGAGCTCCATGAGGAGGCCTTAGTTCGAATTTCGCTTCCAGATTTAGACATCCAATTCCCATTCAAAACGTTTTATACTATTCTCATATTTTGGCCCTGGTACTCATATGACTCATAATGAATGTTTTGAATTTTAAATTCTTATACAAATTTTATATAATTATATAGACAGTGAGCAAATAATTCTAAAACAAATATGAACTAACAACTCTTTTACTTACTGGGGATGTGTAGATCTAACTTAACGACTAACGACAACGATTGTTATAATTTCTAAAATCATAGGCTTGTTTTTTCTGTTAAAAACTTCCCAAGATAAAAAATAGATTGATAGTAGCTATCAAATAACGTTTAGAGACTAATTTGTCACTAAATATTAGTATGTGTTTTACTGACAAATCCCTAGTTCAAATCGAATCCTTCTGAGTAAATTTGCATTACGGAAATCAGAATGGTTGTGTTCTATTTAATAACAAAACGGTTAAAAGTGATAGGTAGATTGGTATTTTCCATCTTAATTTATTCAGTATATTTATATTTGAATCTTTTCCGACACTCTAATAGTATAATATTTAAGCTATTTAAGTCTTCCTGAATAACATTAAAGAGAGATACAGTCGTTCCAACGTTATATCTAAGTAAAAAATTATAAAACTATTCTTACTCAGATAAACAGTGACCTTATAATGGTTAAGTGAGAAAGACCTCATGGCTATTGCATGAATGAAACTATATAAACGAAATTATATTTGCAAACTTACTCGAATTTACAGTAAGTTATCTCTATTATTAGTAAACCACAACCATAATTGCAAGCAAATCTATGTCTCACTAAATTATCGTGTAGTCTTCACTATATGAAAAATCGTCGAAAAAAAAATAAACCTTTTCCAGTAGATTATCAATCTAAATTCAATAAATCCTTTTAGATCATATTTTGTGAAGTAGTGATACCATTAAGTATAATTGAAACGACTTCTTTATAATGATGAACTGAATTCTATATGAAATATTTTACGTCAATATTTGTTATTATATATATTTTATGAATCAAACAGTACTATGACCACAAAATTTATATTTCTCACCGCAAATACCGATGAATATTTCAGCATGATTCTTGGAATTGGTTCAGTGGCTTTAATTTTAGGTACTGTCTCATACATACTAAATTATCTCGTAGGATTATACTTTGAAGCGATCAGATATACTTTTTCTAAGGAAAATATAGATACATATGAGTAGATCAGCTTCTAATAAGATGTTGTTTGCCGTAATATAACATGATTCGAAAAAAACTTTCTTACAGGGTATTTTAAAATAGACATTGATAGTGACTCAGTGAAGTAATTAAAAATTAATCGATTAATCGAAGTATATCTGTCCAGTAGCTATGCATTTTTTGTATACATGGACGTCTTGAGAACTAATGATCAGTTGTAGTAGTCTTCAAAAGAGAGTTATCTTATTTTTTTTAAATTGTCATCAGTATTCTTAAGACTACTATTCATTAGTTTAGAAACAATTATCATGGGAGGAAACATAACTCATCTATATTAGTATAGATTATAATCCCATTTTACATTTATGTTTGAATCAGTGTAATGAAACTTAATTACTTCCGCTTGTTTTTTTTTGTTAACTAACATCAACTTATGTAACAGTGT